TTCCTACATTAAATAGGTATTTGAATAAGCTTTCTGTTGATACCAAATACAAGGTGATTTATAATTATATCTGAGGACAGCATGACAGGGAAACTATTCTGAGACAGACCTCGTAACAAACGCAAAAAAAGGAGATATTTGATAGGAAAGAAGGAGCAAACCACATCAGAGCACCCGCCAACCACCCATGTGTAACGTCGTGTATGAAAGACGATTATAACTTATTTTAAGAGTGGTGGGTTCAGAAGACCTTTACCCAATTACTTTCTGTTCCGTTATCTTTCAACACTGAAGTGTAACTTAGGTGTACTTAAGACAGGGCTTCTGAGGTTAATGTCTATAGCCGGTGTATGCATGCATTGGTCTTGTCATTGTGGTATATCGATTCATATTTCACAGCAAACATCAATAAAAGTGGTGCATTTCATTCAGTTTTTGTTTTTTTGTGTTCTTAAAACATTACTGTATGGTCCATAATAATATACATTTAAGAGGCATGACCTCTGAAATGAATGTCCTCCAACAATAGTCTATCAAGTAGCTTACACTTCCCGTCGAAATGTCTAAGACAGCGACCATCCTCTATGAGTTGAATTTGTTGTTGTTGTTGTTATCGTTGTTGTTGTTATCGATCCAGCAACAGCTGGGCTTTCGATCGCCCTTCTGTCAAGTGCCATGTAGTGATAAGAGCAGGTTTGCTGCAGTTGCTGTAATGTTCTATAGAGTGTGTTATCAATGTTAGGTCTCGGAGGGAGGAGTGTTTTTTCTCCCAATACAAAAACCAAACCTAAATAATACACATAGTACTGTTGTATTTATCCTCACCGGGTTTGTGAACGTGACATCTATTTGTTTGGGTTTTTTTGTTTTGATTCGTTTTTTTAGTAACTTACATGACCTTACTGTGTTGCAAGTGCTGTAAAACTCTTACTACTATTTTTACTAAGTACTAAAGATTTAAGGTGTAACAAGAGAGTACCAAACACAAAAACAAGAGGGAGAGATCACGATGAGAGATGTTTAATAGGAAAGAAGGCGCAAACCAAAGCAGAGCACCCACCAACCACCCGCTATCAGGTAGGCCTATTTGATGGACGTCCTATTAGACAAAGTATAGCCTACTTCATTTGGAAGACAGGAGAGTTTTCGAGAAATTGTAAATATGTTGTTTTACAGTACCAACACACCTGTTTCAATCTGCCCGTCAGGGCCGACCTGGGGCTTCACGAAAAACAATTATATGGGTTTAACGCCTCTATCAACGTTATTAGGTTATTAAAGAGGCGGGACTTTCAAGTTTAACATCCATCTCCGAAAGTACCGAGCCAAATGGGAATATTGTGTAAAGTGCCTATCCCAAGGAGAGTACGTCAGGCCGAGCTGAGGCTCAAACCCCAGAACCTGCAACCTCACGATTACGAGTCTGGTAGCCTAACCACTAAGCTACCAGCCGACACAACTCCGCATGAAAAACAGCATCCCAGCAGAAAGAGAGAAACTTGTAGGCATAAGTTCCCCAAGTGGGAAACAAACTCAGACCTTCAGCAGGTAATGGCTAAAAGCCTAACCATGACACCACAGGCACCGGTCTAGATCATTAACCTGACAGGAACTGTTCAAAACAGACTGATATCTGGACACAAAACCACTGAGGAAGACATACAGTATAACACTGATAGATCAAATTTGTCGGGATCGGCCTCGGTAGTTCGAGTGCGAGGGATATCTTACAAAGACAAAGAAGAATTTAAAAAACGGGACCGCAGGCACAGTTCAGCAGATCATGCGTGATTACCAGTCTTCTGTGTTCAACCTACCCAGGTTATACTGTAAATAACATCATACCAAAAAGTCAAATGGAAAACTGAAGTCCTGTGTTGATCATGGTCGTGCAACCCTGAAGTTTATTTCAGGTCAAGTTAGGCAAAAAACAGCATTAACAACGAACAGATTTAACTCTCTTGATTACATGTCATTTTTATCCTTCACAATATCTCTTACGATAATATGTCATTTTTAGACTCCACAATATCTCTTATGATAATAGGTCATTCTTATCCGCCACAATATCTCTCATGATAAAATGGTATTTTTATCCCCACAATAACGTAATCATTCATCCGCTCATCACGAAAATGAACGAGTACTGTTAGTGTATCAATCTTTATTTCATGTAACAAACAAAATAAAGTATTTTCTTAAATTGTTTGAATAATTATAAGTAAAAAGAGGCCCATTGACACAATAACGATCATTTTGTGCAAGACAGGCAGATAAAAAGAGAAGAGGGAAAGAAAAAAATCAAACAAAAAAAAAAGAGAATAAAATGGTCGCTTTAAAGGACAAGCAGGCTAACCCAGATTTCGGGGGTTTCCAGAAATATTGACCTACACCAAAAGTGGGCATCGCCCTACCTATAGGAGAAGTTTGATTTCATTGGTGTGTATATATTTGTATGGTTATGGAGAAAACTCTCCTTGTCTTTCAATGAAACTGAACAAGGGTCCAAAAACTTTACCTTCGATTTTCTCAAAACAGCGTTTTTCGGGATAGCCCCCTTGTGCTTAAAAGCGACCAAATAATCTATGGCATATCATATGGAATGGCTGAAGAAACTACACACTATTCAAGCTCACAAAACGCTTCCATTAAATGATTAAACTCAGTAATTACAGGGGCTCATGCAAACGCCAAGGAAAACTTACAAGGTTATAAAAAAGGAAAGGAAAAAAAGTAGACAAAAGCAAAGATTGGTATGAAAAAAGTGGAGAGACATGTTATATCAAATAAAAGAATGTGAAGTATTATGCCACACATAAAATCTTGACTTGCGTACCTAGTAAAAAAAAGACAAAAGATTCTGTGACAAAACACATAAGGCCAACAAATCTTGAACAGAAAAAAACAAGACATAAAAATCCCTTGCAGAATGCAGACATAAAAATAATAAAGATTTGCCTTTGCATAATAAACCATTTAATTCAATTAAAATCTGCAGGTCCCCAGTAAGGGACATAACTCTTTATTTTTTGCAATTTTAATGTAGTGTGGGATTTGACATGGAATCTCCATCAGACAAAATATATATGTGTCAGAACGCGGTGGAATTAGACGCTCGTCAATTTCTTTCGCATATGGAGTTATTAGTATCATCTTAAAGCCTGTCCATTTGCCTTGCTTTTGATGAAATCAATACTCATTTATCTTGGATGTAAGTCGAGATATTTGCGATTGAAGGAGGAAGGGTGGCCTGGTTTCAAAGATAGAATTAGTGAGAAAATGGCTGCTAATGTTTACTTATTTCTTTAGTTTGAGAGCCTGTGGAAACTGAAAATGTACATCTTTTATGCATTTAATCAACATTTTTCAGTAAAATCCACACTGAAATGTGTTTTTCAATGGGTATAAAAGGTGTTGAGCCGAAAAACAAAAATTCAATAAAAACTTCCAAACCTGCAGAAAAATGCCAGTTTCTCCATTTTCATTATTTTGAAGAGCACCTGATTTCACCATGCTGCCTCACATATTGTCGCCTCAGCACAATTTTGTCCAAAGAGCACATTACACCCTAACTCGCCCGGGATCGCCCGGGAATTCCCTTACGCGCTCCACCCTGACTCGCCCGGAACCGCCCGCGCCGACCCAGCGTCTTTAGAAACGAAAGTCTCGCCTTGACGAGACTCTGGGGCCGGGATTTTGATTTGCATAGTATAGCAAAAAGTTTCTTCTTTCGTTTGATACCGAAACGAAATTTTTCGGGTCAGTAGTTTTAGTCAGGAAATTAGAAAGTGGCTATTCTCACCCGCCCGGAAGTTCTCGCAAGATCAATTCCTCCCCTCTTCTCTCTCTCTCTTTCTGAATACTGTCTATCGGTGTGGACGATCAAATTGACCAAAACAAAGTTAAAAAATGATGTTAAAACACAAAAGTAAATTAATTTGGTTGTCTACAAAGATGCTACGGCTATTTAACTTTTCGAATCGAGCCAAACTACGCGGGTCACCATTTTGTTTTGCCCGGAAATTCTCGCACTACTCCTCTCTCTCTTTCTCTCTCTCTCTCTCCACTGCCCACAGACAAAATTGTACGCTTTTAGTAGGCTACAATTGTAATGGAACGTTTGTTCATGGCACAGAATTCTACAATTTTTCTGTTATCACAGTGTAGAATTCTGTGGTTTAGGGTGAACGCAAAATTTGGTGAACGCGCACCGGGTGAGAATAGCCACAAGACTCGCCTGCACTATTCTCACTCCGGGTGAGAATAGAGGTGGCCTTTAGTCAGAGCTGATCGAAGTGCGATCGCGTTACCGACACTTCGAAAGTGTCTCGACTTGTTGAAAAGCGACACAATTGAGTTCGAAAACGGAAATAACGATGGATTTGAGCAAAAATGAGCATGTGACAAATCAGATGGCTCAGATTTTGATGAAAACGTTGTAGGAAGAGTTTGGGGCGATTCCGATTGATCAGACGAAGAAAATCTAGAATTTAGACCTAGGGCCCGACGGCGAGGCTGAGAGTAAGAGTGACTGGTCGGACACCCCGATTGAACTAAAGTTAGAACATTTCCAACAGTTTGCGCATACATAAAGTTATATTTTTCTGAAACTACATTCAGTTTTCTTTTTAACTTTTGTTTTTTCAGGATTTTTGGAATTTTAGTATTTTTAAAATGTGTTTTTTAAAGGCTAGTATTCACGGGAGGTGGGTTCTTTCCCCTTGCTTAGGATCTAACAATGGACTTCCCGTCCAGGCCCTTAGGGTGTAATGTGTTAACTATAAAGTGCACTTCGGAAAAAGTAGTTCTGGGGCAACTATACCCTGCATACAATTTTTGCAATAAGTAAACATAAGCGGAAATCTTCACACAAACGTCCTCAACCCAGTTTTCAGGCTGTTAAGAACAGAATACATATTTTAGCAAACAGATTATATTATATATACATGCTTCTATGACAATTATTTTCATCCATCAAGTTTCTCTCTCTCTCACTCTTACATAAAGACTCACTCACACACACACACACACACACACACACACACACACACACACACACACACACACACACAAGCACACTCACACACCACTGCACCCTCAAGCCTTCTCTTCTTCCCACAAACACACAATCCTATTTACATATATATTATATCAAGGTTAGTGTACACCTTGAAAACTTTGATATAGGTGCAGGTTCAAGCTCCTCAAAATAATGACCAATTAGTATCTAGGGAGCAAGACATACGAAATTGACGTCATCTCCTACAGGACCAAGCCAAATGGGCTGAGATCCTTCAAATCACCCCCAAACAACCCACATTAAAAAATGTCCCACTGTGGATTTGAACCAGGGTCATCCACACGCAGATTTTGTGAGGAAACCCCAAAATAAATGTCATGAATAATTGCACGGATGAGACCAGCTCCGATTATCACAAGTAACAGCAAGATCAACATGATTTATCGACCTCCTGCCAAGACCTCGCTTACAAGATTCGACAATAATACTTGATTTCCTCCAAAAAAAAATTTGTTTATTTTTCTATCAAAATACACATGATAGGCATTCTGATGCTTTTACAGACTTTTGGAGGGATGGAATAAAGACGGAAAGTACTTTGTATAAAATCTAACACTAAATTATTTTCAGCTTTATTCTTTCCCTGGAATAAACTGAATGACATTGGAAATAGGGAAGAGAAAAAAAATATTTACTGTTTGAAAAAAAACACACCTCGTCCATCAGAATTCAGTTATCTGTGAGACACTAGGCACACCAACAAAATCTCGATATTGACTTTGCACGAAAAGCGAAACAAGTTGAATTTCTGAATAAATGTCAATATTGTTAATACAACTGACATCACTGGCAGATGTTGTGATGTCTGACAGTATATCCTATTAGCTGTATCTCCACTACATAGTTTTGATCAGTTAAAAAGATTGAAATGCAAGTACACAGATGTGTCTGCACGTGGGTTACTCGATATTCAGCGACAGATGTCTCTGGAGGATCAGGATATGTGTATCATATGATAAAGAGAAACAACAGAAACAATAGAATTGTGTACTGAAGAAATCTCTCTTTGAAAAAAAAAAAAGAAGGAGCAGGGGTAGAATCAAAGACCAAAAACACCCTTTTTTTTTTTTTAATGACTCGCTCAAAAAAGTTACAACTTAGTTGATTCAATCAATTCCCCTTTTCTTTGTGACAACAGATCAATCTAGCTGCATCGTTTCAGTAGAAAAAGAGAGAAAGACAGCACATTCACCTTTCAGGATTCTCCGTTCTCCTTTCCCAAACCATAAAAAGGTGAGATGTTTTGTCGACAAACTACCGACGAGACGTTCCACCGAATCCTGAGGCAGTGCGAGTCCCAGAGGACCCGGACGAAGGCGAGGACGAAGACTTGGAGAAGAAAGACCCTGAGGGGCTGTCGCTGCGGTGGTGGTGGTGATGATGATGCTCCTGTGACGACCCACCCCAGCCGCTGCCTCCCCAGCCACTGCCTCCCCAGCCACTGCCTCCCCATCCGCGGTTGTGGGAGTTGTTGTAGTGGTGTCGGTTGTTGCCCTGACCGAACATGTAGCCCAGGACGCCGCCCGTGGCAGCCCCGGACCAGAAGCCACCACCACCTGTTCCTTCTGCAGTGTTGCTGGAGAAAGGGGGAGGGGCGCTGGCTCGAGAGTAAGCGGAGCTGGTGAATCCTGGGTCGCAATAGGAAGAGCTCTGTGTGCTTTCATAGCTGGGAGGGGGTCCTGAGTGGGAGAAGGGAGCAAAGAAAAAAAATAGTTATCACAGTGGGAAGTGTGTAAGGAACAAACAACATTTATCATGAGGGAAAGTGAGAGGGAAGGGGGGGGGGGGGGGTTGAAGAATATTCATCATTACAGGAAGCTGGTTTTTGTTTTAGTACAGGTTTTATGGCGCTCGCAACTGCATAAAGTCATATGAGTGCCAGAAGATTAGAGGTGTTACAAGAGAGTAACAACAATTTTTTTAAAGGGGAGATAAGGACAATAGATGTTTGACAGGAAAGAAGAAGCAAACTGCACAAGAGCACCCGCCAACCACCCACCAGGAAGCTGGGAGAATAGACTAGAACATTTATCACTAGAGAAAGTGGGGGGGAAAGAGAATAAAGAATAACATTTCACACTGTGGGAAAGTGGGGGTGGGGAGAATAAAGAAGAACATTTATCACTATGGAAAGTAGGGGGAATAAAACAGACAAAACATTTATCACTTGGGGGAGCAAAAAATGGGTGGGTTGGGGGGTGTCAAAGAAAAACGTTGAACACTAGGAAAGTAAATTCTTTTTTTAACCTGTCAAGCATCCATCCTTCAAAACTGGGGTGGGGGATGGGGGGGGGTTGTTGGTCAGAGAAAATAATATCCAGCACTAGAAAAGTAAACTCTTTTTGTTTAACCTGTCCATCATCCATTATGTCCTTCAAAGCCGGAATATCCCTAAATATTGTCAATTTTTTGTTGGAGTAAAGAACAGTCATCTGGTGCAGGGAAAAAGCAAGATGGACAGAGAGAAATAAATGACAAAAAGAACAAGGGACCGACTAGTGATGCCTTCCAACCACCTGGAAAATTTTATGACGTTATAGAACATTCCCTCCCTCGAAATTACACAGCCCTCAAATGAGAAGGGAAACAACTCAGGACATTCACTTACCTGTAGGGGCCTGGAACTCTGGGCGGAAGCCGTAAGGTGGGGGCTGGGCAGTCCCTGTGGGCGGAGCTCTGTGACCTCCAGGGGTCACGTCAGGGGCGATGCAGGTCTTGTAGATGATGTACATTACACACAGGATGGCCAAGAACATAAACAGGCCGCCTACTCCTCCCTCCGATTTATGACTGTGGGGTTGGGGGTGGGGGAAGAAAATGTAGAATACAACACTGAATGTTTGTTTATGGGTAAACAAATTTTTGGGTACAGAAAAGAAGATCGACAAGATAATCGTCATTTAGAGCAGGAAAAAAGCAAGGTGAGCTTAGGTGAGTAGATGGAAATGACAGAAAGACAAAAAGAAGTTGAGTGGTTAATAAGTGAGTTCAGGCTCACAAAAATGTCACTTATATGTCAATGCCTTTGTGTTTACATAGGTGGTCATGGGGCATTTCCTTGAGCAGGACACGATAATCCTAGCTCAAAAAAAGGACCCTGCAGAGGGGTAACAAGCAACAGCATGCTTATTATATGTATGGAATATTATAAATAATGAAATGTTGTGATAAACTTGTGTAATTATGTATCTATGTATATAAAACACATGCCCATACAGAGATAAAGAAAAAATTGGAATTCTACTTTTTTAATTATGCCATACAATGGGTGGTTGGCACGTGCTTTGGTGTGGCTTGCTCCTTTATTTCCATCAAAATTCTAGCCTATCTCTCATCTTTCTTTCCTTTACATGTCACTCACTAGTGACACCTCTAGTCTTCCGCACTTTTACGACCTAATTATGTTGCCAGTGCCGCAAAACTCAAGAAAAATTAAAACTTATTCCATTCCACACAATACAAAGCAAACAGAAAGTAAAGACCACGAGAGTTGTTTCAGCTCACCTGGTAGGATAGCTGCTGTAGCTGCTGCCCCCTCTCTGTTTCTCCTTTGCCAGACCTTCTTCCGTGAACTCAATGGTATACTCAAGCTGAAAAAATAAATTTAAAAAAAAAACCCCACAATATAATAATTTGACAAATGACAGACGCTTCTAGTGACTTGGTACCATGTACAAACGATTACAATGTAGCCTGTTCCTGAGAAAAAAGCTATCACTTGTTACATCAATTTCCTTGACATATCAGGCATCATGAGCTTGGGTTTTGTGACAGTTCGTTTAGTTCGGGTTTGAGTCGGGGGGGGGGGGGAACCGTACCAAAACTAGAATGGTCATTCAGTACAGAAAAAATGCGAGATAAATATGAGACAGGAAAAGATGAGAAGTACGATGTCCCAGTGGCACCCTCCAACTCCACCCACTAGCAAACACAATTTGCTCAGAAGTCAATTTTTAAAAATACACAATATTTCCAACAATACAAACAATTCACAGCATATGCACAAAATCATACATCATATACAAGCAGGGCCTTAAGACAAAATATGCCACCTCCAAAAATGAAAGATGCACACCAGTTGATTGCTCGAGTTACAATCTGTAGACCGTTCTTTTATTCTGAAAATCAGCACTTCTGATAAACAGTCTCACCCCCCCCCCCTCCCAAATCCCTTTTGTAAACATATACACAAACATTATGAAGCAAACTTACCCCACAAGATCCTTTGAGCACATAGGGGTCATTTGGATAGTCATAACCTTCACACGAGACCTCCACATGTCCAAACCTGTAGTTGTTGTCCATGTCGGTCTTACATTCCCACTGAGGAGGTCATAAAAAGGGAAAGCATTAGTATGGTATGAGCAGACAAGCATTGAACTCAATCTGTGTTTCTATGCTATTTCATACTGATGCTGTGGAGTAATGGTTAGGCTCTTCCTCACTGCAGGTACAAGATATGAATGCATTGAAGATAAGATACTAAATCAAACATATATTTCCCGGCACAAATAAAGAGGCCTTTTCTTTTCCCTTTTCTAAAGTTTACCAAAGACAATATAATCATAATTTACCTTGGCTAGTACAAAATTGTAAAACTAATTCTAAGATACATAAAACTCTAGGTCACATGGAATTCTTTTATTTTTTTTAGTAGAGGGTATTCAACTAAAATTCGCCACAATAGTTATAAAAAACACTTTTAACTTTAAAGATTTACTATCGAATTTTTACAAGAACCAAAAAAAGTTTTAACAAACATCTAATGATGCACTCATGATAACTAAGAGAATTGGCTGTATTGATGCTTCAAGTAATATTGCCGAAAAAATGGAAGCATTTTTAATAACCTGTGAAGAACAAAGGACTATCACTTTTGTAAATTTGTTTGAGACAGGCAAAAGGCAAAACAGAGAAAGGAGTACTCTGAACAGTACCAGACCTGCCATTCACTCCATAACCAAAAAGGAGTTTTTTTCAGAATCCTCCCTAAAAATAGGAGCTTGGAGGAAAAAAGCGGAGTCTCTAGAGCCCCAGTAGATTAATATAGCATTACAAATGGAAAAGTCTCCAACAGTATTCAGATGATGTCAGATTTAAAATGCAAAAGTGAAAGACAGCATTCGTTACTGTGAACAGTAGAATAGTGAGTGAATTTGCTATTTCTTTTCAATCACTTCATTGGTGTTTGACTGCACAACTAAAATATTTGTTCTATATGTCTCTTGGGGAATCCATCACCTGCGCATGATACAAACCCACTACTCTATAATTAAAGTGTCCCAACAAACATTTTCTAGAGAATCTCAGACAGGGCAACAACGCGCCTCCTTCCACTGATGTAACCTGACCAGTGCAAAGCCTCACCTGAATATCGTAGCCATTAGAGCCTTGGTTGATGCACTGAACAACTTTTGGCTGGAATCTATGCTGTGCAGATCCACCGACACATTTCAACTGTGAACAAAAAGTTTGATGGTTTAGATTAGGGGCTGAAGAGAAGAACAACAACACAACGATGACCACAGAGTGCTGAAAAAAACAACCCAACAAGAAATAGAGAAAAATAGCAGGCAACACAGAAAAAGGAATTAATAGAGGAACTCTCTACTCTGTTGTCATGAAAAAAGGTATTCTTTTACTAAATTATTTGTGTTATGGGTGCTATTTTGTTCTACGTAAGGGCTTAGAAACAGTGATCACAAAAAAAGATTTTCATAAGAGACACAATCCACATGATAAGAAAATATATAATTACTCTCTGTATTTGAGAAGAAAAATGATCCATCTGATAGAAAAACATAACAACGTTTGCTCTCTGTTACCTGTAAGTCTAACAGCTACAAGAAAACATAGTTCCATGTATATATATATATATAATATATATATAAGCTGAACCCCCTTTCGATGAAAGGAATATTCGGTGCTTTAACATCAACTAAAAGTCATTGGCCTACTACTATATTAAAACACTCTACTGGAATGGGGAAACAAATCTTGAGAGATGCAAAAAATTAGAAGGTCTAGATCTATACTCTCAAAGCAAAATGCGCCTCACGCAATATCACTTCCGGATTTTCTAAAATTACAGAGACAGAAGCGTCGGCCTAGAAAAGCGATCGGCGAAATAAAGAAATTTAGCTTTTTGCAGTAAAACTGTCTCAAAACTGAAAAAACCAAAGGCGTCATGATCTGGAGAATATTTTAAAGAATATTTTGGCGAAAACCGCATGTCGATCGATGCAGCCACTAAAAAGCCTTTTGAATAGCAAAATTCGGCCACCACAAATAGATAATAGATGTATATATACTTTATGTTTGATAAAACCTGCATGATTGAAACTTTTTACGGAGTGGAACTCTTCGCCCTAAAACCCACAAAATTGTAAACCCTACCCCCTGACCCCAAACACCCCACATTCTCAATTAAGTTTGCATCATTTATTCTGTTCCTCAAAAAATATGACATCTCAATAAAATAAATAAAGACACACACACACACAAAAATTAGTCAAAAAACTTACTTGAGGAACAGGTGGTGATCTTCGAGCATTCGTCATTTGGCCTTGATGAAGAGTTAGAGCTTTAAGATCAGACAACAATATCTTATCCGAATTGTAGTCTCCAAATGCTCCTGTAAACACAAACAAGATCGGGTTTTTTTCTTACAAACTGCAACTGCAGGTGTATTTCCTCACTACAAATACCACACTCTTTTGGTTTGTTTCCTTTTCTTTTTAAATTTAGGTGGTTTATGCCTCCATCAACACTACAATACAATTTAGATCACTCAGGAGTCCTGACCCTGCCTGTCAGGACCAACCAGGGCTGAGAGGGATACATCCCAGCAGAAAGACTAAAATACTCGATAAAAATTTTCCTCCCCGCTCGAGAATTAAACTTGATTCTCCTGCGAGATACAGTAAAGCAATTAATCGCTACACTACAGATGCAAGTTAACACACTCTGATCCAAATACAAGAAGTGTGATCTGTTCTGCCCTGGGCAACAACGTCATCGCACACCGGACAGGTCCATAAGTGCTCAGTTCCCCCCCCCTCAGCACCAAAGCCCACAAGGTATCCATAATGATTGTTAAAGAAGTGTGATATTACTAATGTCTCACAGAAAACATTCATCAAAGATAATGTTTCAAAATTTATTCTTTCATTTTGAAAAGACATTTATTACTATGACTTACTTTTTCAGAAAGCATGTAGGTTGCAACACATAATGTAATGTCATCGGCCAAGTAAAAAGCTCTATTTAATATCATTCATTGGATGCTGGTGTGTGAATATGTGAATGTGTGTGAATATTCATGTGTATGTGAGTGTGTGTGTATGTGTGTAGGTATTGTATGTGTGTTCTCATTTATTATTTGAGAAGACATTGTTTTGTGTCAATGAACCCTTTGGCTCTCATTATTTGATGGAATGCTATTTAAATAAAATACAATGCAGTGAAAAAAAAAAAGATTTTTGTTGTAAATGTTAATGTGAGTATGTTTTTACGTACGACCCCATCGACAATTAAATAATTTAGGAAGCGGGCTTTCGATCCCGTCTCTCAGGACCAACAAGGGCTGAGAGGGATACAATATCCCAGCAAAAAGACTGAGACAATTGATAAAAATTTTCCCCACTAAGGAATTCAATTTCAGGTCTCCTGTACGCAATAGTGAAGCACTTACTGCTACACCAGACATCTTTAAAGTGCAGTTAAAGTACCTAAATCTGGATGACTGAAAATGGTTAATGGTTACACAAAATGCTAACAGGCCTGAACAAAAACTATGAAATAGTTCCAAATACATGACCTTTCACGTTTCACATTTTACTACAGACATGCAACATTATACGCCTCACTTCATCTGATCTCATAGAATCAAGGTTTTGTCATCCATTAGTGTCCTCATTGTCTGTAACATGCTTGTTTTCTTTTTTCTGCTTGCATGCTTTTTCAACGGTTTGCTAGGGCTAGGCTTAGCACACATCTACTGTACTCAATGCAGGGGGTGACACGGCACGTCCTATAAAGAATCAGCATGCACATCGCTCCCCTCATGTGAGCACAAGCTTTACAACATGACTAGCGTGAGGCAACTGCTTATGTGAGGAATGCCATTAAAATTATACTGAACACTTTTTTGCTTACAAGCGTGACCCGTGTCTATTCACCCACATGACGTGTTGAGTGACACTCTTTGTGAGGCTGGCCTAATGTTGCATGTCTGTGGTGAAACGTGACACATGAAAGGTCACGTTATATGTCAGGCGGTACTTTCAATTTACATGTAAATGATGATGACAATAACAATTAGTTAAAATTAATGATTTTGAGTAAAATAAACATACCAGCATTTTGAGTCACAGTTCCCAGCACCAGGAGGAGCACTGGTAGCATCCATGATCTCATGATTAAATTCTTCATGGTTGTCTTGAGTTCACGTCAACTTTAATCAATAATTTAGCTGTAGGAGATGAAATTAAAAGAGAATTGTGAATCATCATAAACCAAATATATCTTGCACATAAAAGCCTATCACCAAACATTTAAAGAAATAGCATGCAAAACAGGTCTGGTACAATCACAATACTAAAAATGCTTCTCCATAACATATATTACCAAAACAAGTCAACATCAACCTGGTAAGAAAATAGGTCCCCAAAATGCTGATTTAGGCAATTGTGGAATGACTGACAATACCAATCATACTCCCCTGATGCAGATAAAAAACATGATAGCCATACATGTCAAAATTACTGTCATTCTGCAGGACTTAAAGGCGTGGAATAACTTCCATAACGAGCGACCACCCCAGCAATTATTATCGATAAAGAAGAGATCTCTAACCCTAACCCTGACCCAACCCCTGGCCTAACCCTACCCCAACTCCTAGATTCTAATCCTCTATTATTACTATATATATTTCATAGTGTAGCTCGTTATGGAATTCCACCCCTTACTGTACTGTAAGTTGTAACTGAAACTCTCATTTCTTCCTCTGAAAGCAGTCTTTACATAAAACTTATAAATAATTTAGATCTATCCATAGAATTTTGACTCAACACAGCATCTGTCTGGGTTTCCATTAAGGGAGTGTATACAGACCCGGTAACCGGAAACAAAGTCACAAAGTATACAGACCCGGTAGGGGAACTCTTGTGTGATTTCAGAAAGTTCAGAAAGTTTTAGTGCTCTCTTGGCTCAGGGTAGACCTAGGTAGGCCGGAGAAAGACATGAGCAACTTCATGAAGGTGATAGCTACGCTAGGTCGAGAGTGTCGCGAGTGGCCAGAAAGTGCAACTAATGCGGAAATCGTGGCCATCCTTGGGGAAAATTCAGTGATGGGTGATGTTGTCGTCTTCACCGACGGATCAGTGAGGCGTGGCCAGAAATCTGGGTGGGCGTTCAGTGCTCGAGTTGACGGAAAGATAATTAAAGAACAGTCTGGAGCCTACGAGTGCACTAGGTCAAGCATGTCAATGGAGGTCAAGGCAATAATAGAGGCGCTGGAATGGATCAGCATGGAAGCGTATAAACATGCCCTGTTTGTCACAGATTCGATGAGCACCCTAGAAAAAATCAGGAGTGGGTGGCTCTACAGTGACTGGAGAGCTTCCATTGCAAATAGCCACCTCCTAAGAATTGCATGGATGTTCTGCCCTGGTCACGCCGGGGTGCACGGAAATGAGCGTGCTGATGAACTTGCCGGCAAAGCAACACCCAATGGCCGAATCATGCTCGACCCACCAATGGTGATCACCAGAAGCAAGGAGAGCCTTCACAACCAAGAGGAGACAGACTCCCACACACTCAGCACAATAAAAGGAAAGTGTGTGTGGGGCACAGCGAAAAAAAGTTTGCTCCAAGGAGTGGTCAGGCGTGTCTCAAACCAGCTCCTCATGGAGACAATTAGCAGGAAGACCCTGATGTGGACGCTGGAAAGGAGATGAGCAGCTATGGACATGTGCCGCCTGCTATGATTCTAGCTCTGGATCCAAGTAAATCCAAAACCTAGGTTCTTTTAAATCTATGGCCTAGGTCTAAACATAGACATTTATAATCGTTGATCTAGTTTCGAGGCTAGCCTAGACCTAGATTCTAGATCTAAATGAAGATTGCGGATGTCTTTTCGATGTAAGATTGTTTTTCCTTCGTTTTGGAGTTGGAGGAGTCACACTTGAAGAAAAATAACAATGTCATAAAATTTCAATCGAGCAGTCACCCTCTCTATTTCTCTGCCTCTTCCTCTCTCTCTCTCTGCCTCTGTGTATCGCTCGCCTTCTCTTTTTCTTCGTTTGTCTTTCTTTCTCCCCCACCTACTTTTCCACTCTATCTTTCTCTCTTTCCCTCCTGCCAACTGGGGCATGTCATATTACATTGCTATCTCTCTCTCTCTCTCTCTCTCTCTCTCTCTCTCACACACACACACACACCCACACCCACCCCACACTACCGGGTCTGGGCGCTGAAACTTTCCGTAATCACAAAAAGAGTTCCCCTACCGGGTCTGTATAATTCGTGACTTTGTTCCCAGTTACCGGGTCTGTATAGATCTACACTTCGTTCCATTAGGTAGGCTAATCATCATGCATCGAATGAGAACTGCACAACTACAACAGACGGTGGCACTACTTGGATAGGTGGTCCCGACTTTTGTGACTGGGAAATATAACCCAGAGAAAATCTAGAATCTAGTTTTGTCCCCAACGACGAATACTTCTGATTCAAGTCTAAACGATTACTTTTTGATTCGTGTGCCGATATGGAGATAGCCTTTCATACCTAGATCTAGATCTAATTGCAAAACATCAAATCGTGGTAAAATTCAGGAGGGGGCATGCCCCCCTGAAACACCCCATGTTTTGTTTTTCGCTCCGTTTGTTTTTTGTAAGTCAGGGGGGGCAACCCACCTTGTCTTGTGAAAAACAAGAGAAATTTTACTGCTCATTTTGTAGGCTAGATTTAGATCTAGGCTACTGATAAAACATAAAACATTGATACTGACTAGATTCTTTTTAGATCAGTGTATCGATATTTCAGTAGCGAGTAGGCCTACACAAAAGTCGGGGTGCTTTTTCGGTAGTTCCCACCCCCCTTATTTGAGCCTGACCTACATCTATATTTCTAGATCTAGATCTATACGTTTGATTCGCGGTGAGCTAAGATATCAAACCTAACAACAGCAAAACATTAAATTGTGGTAAAATTCAGGGGGGCATGCCCCCCTGAAACCCCCCTTCCTATTTTTGTTAGGTCAGGGGGGCAAGCCCCCCTGAAACCCCCCTACTCTTGGGGCCAAAACCCGTGAATAACAATTGCGGGGTGGGAACTACCGAAAAAGCGCCAAAGTTGGGACCACCATTTCCAAGTAGTGCCCATAAATTTAATATTCTATGCTATTGGCTATTGGTTTCATTTTAGAAAGTGGCTATTCTCACCCGCCCGGAAGTTCTCGCAAGATCAACTCCTCCCCTCTTCTCTCTCTCTGTCTCTTTCTGAATACTGTCTATCGGTGTGGACGATCAAATTGACCAAAACAAAGTTAAAAAATGATGTTAAAACACAAAAGTAAATTAATTTGGTTGTCTACAAAGATGCTACGGCTATTTAACTTTTCGAATCGAGCCGAACTACGTCTACGCGGGTCGCCATTTTGTTTTGCCCAGAAATTTTCGCGCTACTCCTCTCTCTCTTTCTCTCTCTCTCTCCACTGCCCACAGACAAAATTGTACGCTTTTAGTAGGCTACAGTTGTAATGGAACGTTTGTTCACGGCACAGAATTCTACAATTTTTCTGTTATCACAGTGTAGAATTCTGTGGTTTAGGGTGAACGCAAAATTTGGTGAACGCGCACCGGGTGAGAATAGCCACAAGACTCGCCTTCATTTTAACATTCACTCCTTAACTTTAACAAAGGATAGATCTATCTATCTACCTTACCTTTAGGCTACACTTAGACTGGAAAAGGGCCAGCCTTGGCCTTGTCACGCCTTGTGACAGCAGCAACAAAACAAATGTAGTACACACAGTAGGCAGGCTTGTCATTCACAATAATAATAGCATAGCATAGCAGCAGACACTCTAAGTTGTAGAAATCTAGATTCTAGATTAGATCCCTAAATTTAAATTACATCAGAGAAGATCTGTGGGTAGATTAGTCCACTTAAGGTGACTTATCGATGCAATTCAGATTCAGACTTTAATTTCAGCATAGACCTTTCTTTCTACTCTTGCATTTGCTTGTCGCCTGCAATCAATCAATATGAAGCAACGATGCCCGATGCTTTTTCTCACGCAGTTGAGTCAAAAATGAGAGTGGGACAAGATTTTGCAAACGCTGTAATTTTTTTTAAAAACAACGGAATAAGTGGAAGGCTCTATGAATCGTACACGCACAGTATAGATTGGATTTCTAGAAATCAATTAATGTACTTGGAGAGAAAAAGCAACACAATTTATTTACAGGAAACCATGAATCATCAGTGCTATTTCTGTTCACTCTGATGAAATTCCGCCAAGAAGTTACCGGAAGTCCTCGTCACCATTACTGTGTTTTTATCCAGATTTTACGAATCGGCAGGATTCACTAAATGTGGCCAACTAAAGAACAATAAAGAGTATGCCTAATCTAAAAATACACGTAGGCTAAGTGCCTATAAAATAATAATATAATATGACGTACAAGGTCATTGGATTTTCCCAACTTTACTTTTACCCGCCTTTGAATTTGATATACATTGTAATATGGTATGGCCACGTATGGATATTCGATTTGCTGGGACGGTATCTAGGCTAGGCTTGGTTGTTGGTGACAACTGACAACAGTTATAACAGCAGTCTCCGCCTATTAAGATCCCGGTGCTTGGGACCAAGAAGAATGGTGACCCTTGTTTAGGTCCACAGCCAATGAAATAGTCTCTTCCCTTTACTAAAAAATGAACTAGGCCTAGCGTAATCCCTGGGTGATATGACTTTTGGCGAGCAAAGAGTGGTCACTGGTCACCCGTGAGACCAATCCACAGGGTTAAGACATAGATCTAACATTTTCACTTAGGCGAATCCTGAGTCTCAAGATCTACGGGCGCTCTTTGGAAATTGCTTTCACGGATTTTTTGCAAACTTGAATGCTACCTCAGAAAAAAATTCTCATTAAAAATGTTATAGATTAATTCGTGTAGAAAAAAAAACAACAGACACATTTTTATAGATCTAATGTTTGTTAACACACATGCAAAAAAACCCAATCAATTTCCAAGAGCAATTAGTGCGGTATTCATTACGTAAGACATGTAAACAAAATCTGATATAACCGCAGTATCCATGAAAACAAAACTTTTTTTCTCAAATTTGATTGCGGATTTTAAGACTCCTTACTATAATGCTTGTTATATGTGTGAAATTTGGTAACATTTGTTTCTGTAATAAGCGAGATTATAGCCTTCAGGTGTACCCCCCCCCCCCCCCAAGCTCTAAGCGGCTGAAGATCGACGTGGACAGGCGCCAGTAGCGGTGTCTGCTTGACTCCACATAGAGGGCGCCTATAAAGCCTACATCTAGATAAGGAAAAAATTACACCACAACACAGCTGCGTACTTACGTTTAAGTAATTATGGGGATATTTTTAAAAACTATAAATTCCTAAAATATTGCTTAAAATGTGATTCTGCTCCATTGCCACCCTAATTTGACGACGCTGATTTAAAAAATATAATAAGTTTGTGTCTACCGTGAAGCGCCAGCTCTGAAATGGCCATAAACTTAGTCCCCTGTCCAGTCGGTGACGTCACGCAAACCACTTAACAGCGTTCTATCTATGTTTTCGCCCTTAAGGCTAGATCTAGTGCGCATACACTCACACGTAAACACGTCCACCAAAGTTCAATCCGGCCAAAATGTTTTTTTATACAAAAAAGGCAGAGATCAATATTAGATTCTACTGGCTAATGTGGTAGGGGTCACAGCCAATGGCCACTTTTTGTCCTTATGTAATCACTTAAATTCTGTTTCTTTTGTAAACAAACGGGAAGACAATTTCCAAAGAGCCCCGATCTACGCTTATCCAGTTGCTCCTCGCCCTAGGCCTCCTCAGATACTGAGAGGGCCAAAATCCTCGCCCCTTTGCCTTTACATTACCTGTCCAAATTGATAGCTTTCCATCTCTCGCCAAGTTCCCCCCGCCCCTTATTAACACACCATTGCGTTTGACCTCACCAATTTAATTATATTAAAATTTCGTTGTAAAGTCGTGTGTAGAGACATTTATAACTGCTGCAATGGTCCGGGAAGAGTTCATATAGTTCGGTGATCCCGCGGGAGCCAATTTAAATTTTAAGCTACCCACCAGCGCGTGTGATGTCAGTTCATGATAGGCTATCGCATTCATGCGAGTGGCTGATCTGTGACGCAACGGGCAGTTCAGATATCACAAACTTTAGGCCTAGATCTAATTCTTGGTTGATCGTTTGTGCCCACTCGGGTTTGGGTTCCTATAATTATTATCTGAAAAGCGGGATCTTAGCCGAATGTATTCATTAAAGTGCGGGATCTTATTGTGATTTTTATGTAGTAAAAATTATGTTTACTTAAAACAGCGGGATCTTCAGCGAACCGGGGCCATAAGCGGTGAGGTCTAACGCGCAGGCTATTGTATTTATTGAATTTATTGTAACGGTTGCTATCGATGAGTGTGGGTAGGCCATCTAAGCCTAGTTGTAATGCATAATACCACCGCCAGCCACGCCCACTGTTATGTTATGTAAACTGTGAACCAAGGGACAGCATTCAGTTTTACTCTTGTTTTTTTTATTTCCTCAACAAACACCAACTTCCGATTCTCCTCCAATATGGCGTCAGAAAAGCCTTCCGTTTTCAGTGATGCACAGTGATGTATTCCAGACAGTACTTGGGGATACCAGCACAATGATTACAGCGAAATGGATGACGACCCGAGGAATAAGAAAAAAGTGAAGGAAGGGTTTCCAAAGGTAACCACGACCGTTGATTTCAGTATAAATTACTCTGCACGGGCGTAGTGATGTCAGCTGACTGCGGCAAAGGCAAAGTTTGAAATAGAGATAAATAGGCCTACTAGATCTAGATCTAGATCTAGATCTAGAATCTAGAATAGATCTAGATCTAGATTCTAGATCTAGATATATTTTAGATCTAGAGATGGCTGGATTGTACTTTACCGGACCACCCGTCTCGGCCCGTGATTACTACTCACGCCTAGCCTAACTACGCACTCATAGTCATAGTACTCTGCGTGCGGACAAAAGGTAGTTCCGCGGGCGACTTCGTGCACGCACAGCGAAGTCAGCGGCGACTGGCGAGGCGAGGTGAGCGAGAGGTGGTGGTGGTTGAGAGTGGGCAGGGGATTTAACTTTGGTGGACCACTGTGTATCATACCAACAGTGGGGTGGGGGGGTTCAGGGGGGCTTGCCCCCCTGGAAACTATAATAAAGAAAACACACAAAAATGCGAAACAATAACATGAGCGGACAGTCGTGTTTACATATCAATGGGGGGTTTCAGGGGGGCTAGCCCCCCTGGTAACAATAATTTAAAGACACTCACACACACACATATAAACAATAGCATGATAAGTCGCGAGCAGGGCCAATGGGGTTGCAATTATGCAAATGAGCTCTCGTGCGCATCTCTAGCCCTCCATTGTACTTTGCCGGACCAGGAGTAGGCCTAGGGCCTAGGCCAAGCCAGCAGAGTCGCGAGCAAATAAGAATAGTGGACCACGTGATTAGATTGACCAATTAGCCTCAAGGTGTCAGGGTCATGGGTCAAAGGGCACAGTGGCACGGTCGTGATGACTGAAAAACCCGGTAAGAGACGGCAGTCGATTGCTGGCAGTTGAAGAGTGAGGACGTAGAAAACTGAGTAGGAGAGTGAGTAGGGGAGCTCGGAAACGAAGAACAGCGGACCACTAGGCACCAGGGGCGCCACAGCGAAAGTAGTTCCGACCGGTGGTCCGGTAAAGTACAATCTTACCCTAGAGATTTAGATCTAGACTCTAGACTCTAGATATCTAGACTCTAGATCTAGATAAAATTTAGATCTAGATATCTAGATCTAGATTCTAGATCTAGATTCTAGATCTAGATTCTAGTAGAGTCTAGAATCTAGAACATGCGATTAAAAGTAGAAAGACGCAAACTATTTTTAGGTAAGGCGCCCATCTTGTTTGACGTCAGACCAGGATACCCCTCCGATCATGTGACTAAATCTAAGTATAGACAACCGCATGGCACCAAAGATGGAAGGGTCTATCATGTATATATATGATTATGATGCTTAATCTACACCTTTCTCTTGGAAGTTCTGATAGCTGATTTGACAGCGCGTCTGCATTTGATGTCGTGCAATGAATTTTGGAGCGGTTCGATTCCGGTCCCGGACAGTTTTTTTTTCTCTTTTCCTCCTCCCGACTGACCAACAGTTCCATAAATTATAGGCCTAATTTGTAGGGTTGCTTTGAAGTTGTTGTTTAAAAAAAAAAAGGTATTAGTGATTAAAAATGCAGGAGGGGGGGAGGCGGGGTAGATATCTAAATTTAGATATATAGATCTATCTAGATCTAGATCTAAACATCTAGTCCTCCTGCGTCTTTACGGCAATTTTCGTGCGGTCTTCCATCATGTCCACTAGAGATCTAGAATCTAGATCTAATCTAGAATCTAGATCTAGGAAATCCGGAATGTTACCGAAAACACATCGTTCCATGTGGGTATCCCAGGAAGTGATGACATCACATTACTAAAATTAGCAGCCAATCAGAAAGAAGATGCGTCTTTTCTACGTTTAACGGGATGTCCCACTAGATCTCTAGATCTAGATCTAGAATCTAGATCTAGATCTAGAAAATCTAGATCTAGATTCGGTGATCTTGTGGTTCCGTTCGTTAAAGTCTACAATAATAATAATAATAATAGATAATAATAGATAGCATTTGTATAGCGCATATCCCCGCTCAGCAGCAGGCTCTATGCGCTTTACACTATATTATTACCCCAGCAGACCATAGAACACTCCGAAACATTCTCAGCTTCCCGGGATCCATTTGTTTACATCCAGAGAAGAAATCCAGAAGTCTTGATGAGCAAATTTTTTAAAGATAACCCTGTACACACAAAAAAGGGAGGTGGGGGGGGGGGGGGGGGAGGAGTTGATGTGAAGGCAGAAAAGAGGACCGAAATTCACCAAACAAAAACTAGGAAAATTGTTTATACAATGATTTTAAGTTTTTTTAAATTTAAGTGGCCAGCAGTTCACCGTATATATAGTCTTCTCAAATTGTTACAGGTAAGATTGTACTTTACCGGACCACCGGTCGGAACTCAGTGCTTCCACTCTTCCGTATTTTTACGGAAATCCGTACTTTCTGCTAGTTCCGTACTTGTTCCTCCATCATCATCAACTCCCTCCGTAAAAATCTGCGACAGCGTAGGACTACCGAAATTCCGTAGCAAAAGATCCGTACTCGCCTTCGTATGTCTTGTATAAGTTACGGTAATTCTCTCGGCAATAGTTTATGCT